GGACATTTCCTGCCTTGTTGCGGCTCCCGAGCAGGCAGTGGCAGCCGGAGAGCTGTCCCCAGCTCCGGATGGGCTCTTCCCCTCCCTCCTGGGTGGAGGAGGCTGGGCCAGGAGATAAAAGAGGGGACAAGGGCCAGCTGGGCATTGCAGACAGCAGCCAGGCCTGGGGAGCTGAGATTTGGCCGCAGGACAGGGCGGACGGTAGCTCCGGCGGCAGGGAAAGGCACGGTACCCAGGGCTCATTCCCGCGCGACAGGGAGGGAAGAGGGCTGGGAATTGGGACCCTCCACCCAGACCAGGCAACCCCCTGCCCCTTCCCCACCGGCCCGGATCAGGCCGTATCCTCATATCCTCTACATGCCCACATGCCTGCTGGGTCCTGGAGGGACGGGACATATCTGGATGTGGGAAGGATTTGGGAGGAAGGGGGCATAGGACAAGTATTGAGGAGTTGAAAGGCTCATGCAGCCCCATATGACATTTATTGGATATTGAGGACTTCAAGGTGGCTTGAAGGTTAAAGTGTCTGTGTCTGAATGACTTCTCAGCCAAGGCTGAGACAACAGGGCCTGTGTCTGTGCCTGGTCCTGGGGCAAAGTCGAGCCATTGACCAGGGCTGTGTGTGGGTCCCTGGGGTGGAAGGGTTGAGAAGCTCATAGGCAAAGCAGGACCTTCTCCCGCTGTCCTGCAGCACCGCGGTCTGTCTGTCCATCCTTCCGTCAGCATCGGCGGTGAATCCGCTCTTATCGAGAAACGGGTGAGCAGGGAGCAGAGAGGAGGGTGGGGGTGTCCGGCAAAGGTCTTTCCCGCTTAGGGCAGGTGCGGGAAGGTGAGAGGGCTGCTGGCCCCGCGCTCGCGCCCTTTGCACTGCAGTGGACCTTTACCCGGGCAGCGGGGAAGCCGAGGCACTGCGGCTGCCGTGGCCATTGGTGCCTGCGCAAGGCGAGGGGCCCAGGGCTTGGGAACCAGGCACGCCACTCCCCAAAACCAAGCCTTTAAGCCCCGTTCCTGGAGGAATGAGGTCCTGTCCCGCAGCCCATGGCTCCCCCTCCGCAGCAGGTGTCCTGGCTGCCAGGGCCACGCCGGGCCCCACAACACTGCCCGCTATTGAGGCCTGGGCTCACACGGGAATCAAAGCGGCTCTTTGTGCCCCCAGCGCCGGCTGCACAAGCTGCCATTTCGCTGTGGCACCGGCAGGCACTTCTTGCCAGGACAGCAAAGCAGGGTGCCAGGCGGGGAAGGCACCGGAGGCTTGGGGTACCAGTGCCCTTGGCATTGTCATCAGTATGAAAGGACACTGGGGCCTTAGTACCCTGCTTTCTTCCTCCTCTTCCTCACCAGGGCTGGGATGGGGCTGGCAGTGCTGGCCTTGGCCGCCTGGCTGGTGGTGGCGGTGGCGGCCGAAGGGGCAGCCAACAGCAGCCGGATCTGCCAGGCGGCCCCGGCGTGGACCATCAACGGCTCCAGCCCCATGGCGGGGGCGGCGGGGCAGGTGACGGTGGTGGCCTTGCTCAAGGCCCGCTGACACTTCTGCCTGAGGCAGGCCCGCAGGTAGGGCCCGCTCCCCCATGCCCATGGGCCTCCTTGCTGGGAGGGGACACACCATGGTGACTCTGTCCCGGCGGTGAGGCCCCGCGTGGCCCCTGGTCCCCCTCAGGCGCCATCTCTCTCCCCGCAGCCTTGGGGACCTGCAAGAGAAGCTGTCGCGGCAGGGCATGGCCGACGTGCACTACATGATCGTCAACGAGAAGGCACCACTGTCGCGGGCCATGTTTGGGGGGCTGGTGGGCCAGGCCCCCCCCAGCATCCCTGTGTACCAGCAGGAGCCCCAGGACCCTGATGGCCGGCTTCGTTGTCTACGACCGGTGAGCGCTGCCACTGCACCGGGGTGGTGAGGGGTTGGGGTGGCATTGGTGGTGGCGGCGGGGACAGGGTACCTGGTGCCCCTGTCTTTGCTTGGAGCTGGAGAGGAGACTAGGGTGTCTGATCACCAACGCACAACGCCCCTGCCTTCCATGTCCACCTTCCCTCTGTGTCCCTGGGTCCTCTGAGAGGTCTCCAGTCAAGAGAGTCCTAGGGGGGACACAGGAATAGAGAGCTCTCTACTGGCCCAGAAACTACTGGGTTTGGGTATCCTCTAGGGTACCCATGGGGCTGGAAACGGCGCTGCGTGGGTTGGCCATGGGTGCCAATTGCACCATGTGTGCCTCAGTTTCCCCAGCTGCAGGACCGCGTTAGTGTTTTGCTGTGTGTGCCGAAAGGGCTGCCTGCGGGCAGGGTTATGGCTTTGTGAGGGCGGGCTTGGCACTGGGAAGGGCAGGAGTCAGCCAAGGGCCATGAGAAGACAAGGTTCCTGGCTGAGTCGCTCTTTTCTGCCCAGGTGAAGTGTCTTAGTGCTCGTCGTTGGGCTGGGGGGCCGAACGGGAATCCTCTCTCACATCCTCCTTCCCCACAGCTGTGCCCGCCTGGCTTTCCACATCCAGCTGCCCTACAGCTTCCTACACTTCCCCTACGTTGAGTCAGCCATCCGCTTCACCTACAGCAAGGATTACTGTGGCAACTGCTCCCTCTACCCCAACAGCACCCAGGAGGTAGGAAGCAGTGTGTGGTGTGGCTTGGGTGCTTACCAGGCCCTGGCTTTTCTCTTGAGCTGGTCCCTACTGCCTCCTGGCTGACCACATGGGATCTCATTATCCCAGCAGGGACCAAAGGCAGTTCCTCCCCACGTGCAGCCTGTGCAACCTAAATCCAGTGTGTGACTTCTCATGGAAAGCTGCCTTGGTATCAGAGGCCTGGAATGTAGCTAGAACCAGGCTAACCAGGCTTGTGTTTAAAACAGAGGAACCAGGGATTGAAAGCTCTAACATTGGAATTGTCAGAGTCTAATAAAGAACAAAATAAGCGGTGCTGCAGAGGGGCAGGATGAGTCAGGGCTGAGGCAACACACTGTGAGAGGGGAGGCTGAGTCTGCCAAAGCATCCAAAATGCGAGTGATGAAGTCTCCCACCAAAGGTCCTAAAAGCAGCTGAGGTATAAGAGAGGAGGAGGTTGCACGGTTAAAAAGCTAATTAAAAGATGTGAAATGGGGTAGCAATAAGCAGATGGTTCTTGCAGTTGCACGGAGGCTGTTCCGGGACCAGGGCTGCTTCAGCAACTGAGGAAAAAAGGACTGCTTCAGAGAGCAGAGAGTGAGAGTGGCTGATGATCCTGGGTTAGTGGGGACTGTATAAATGAAAGGCAAGTGCAAGGAGCTGCAGAAGGACCTGAGTACTGGGTGAGTAAGTAAGTGCAGATGAATTTCAGTATGGATAAATGAAAAGCAGTGTGCAAGAAACAAAACAACCCTTCATCTACCTTCCGCTAGGGGGTGGGCTCGGTTGGCAGCCACACTCAGCCACGGGATCTTAGAGCTCTAGGATTAATATCACAAGCGCAGTGTACCATACAGCAGCACTTCCCTCCCCTACCAAATCGAGTGTTAAAAATGGAATGGAGAGCAAAACACTGTTATGTCTTTGTATAAACCCACGTTGCACTGCATCTTCAAGCCTGTGTGCAGATCTCTTCTTGCTGATGGAGGCTGGAAAAGGTTGAAAGGGAAGGTGGTGAAAGCTCTAGAATAAGGCTAGCTAAATACATCAGGGTTTTGCAGGATGAGAGGGCTGAAAGGCTTATAGTAGAAGAGTATAGTATAGTAGAAGAGTATAGTAGAAGAATAAAGCAAGAAGCCTGGAAAAGGAGACTAGGGCCATTGTCTCTTCTGATATAAAGAATGTAATGGACCCAGCTGTGGCAAGCTCAGAGCGAAGAAAAATACGTAGCTCCCAGCTCTGAGCTCTGCAGGTGCTCTTCCTAGACGAAAATTCCATCTAGGGCTATTAAATGCAAAGGCTCTTTTCTGGCACAGGAATTCCCTGGACCACAGTCAGCTTGAGCCAAGGGATGCATATAAAGAGGTTTGTCCTCTGTATGCTCTGATCTCTTCTGTCCTCTGTGTGTACTATGTCCTGGCTAGAGAAGCTTTTCTCTAACTTATGCAGATTTCCTTACGACTGATGCGATTCTGCTTTCATCCCGGCACATGTGCTCTTGCAAGGTCACTGCAGGGCAGTGTGTGCCTTCACACAGCATGCCAACCTTTGTGTTACTTTCCCCAGGTTAACAGCACCATGGAGGTCCCTGCAAATCCAACCCTGCTTCCTGAAGAGGAGGAGAAGGAGCCAAAGCTCCCCATTCAGCAGCACAACCCTCTCCATCCCCAACACCATGTGGTCAGCAGTGAAAAAGCTTCAGACCCAAGTGGAGACCACCACCCTGCTGCCCATGGTCTCCACCACCACAGAGACCACAGCAAGCCTGATTCCAAGGGGCAAGGGCAGGAGCAACATGACCACTAGGTAGGGCTAGGCCACCTTGGTGAACCCAGTGCAATGCAAACCATGCCAACCCACTTCCCAGAGGCATGAAAGGCCTTGCTGGTCCCTCAGGCTGTGAGTCACCAGCAGGGTTGATTTAATAACTCCCTTCAGCATCTCTCATGTAGGTCATACTCCCACTTCATGATGAAAATCCCCCTCAGACACCAGAAGATGCTGCCTCCTCTGCCCTAAGGCTCAGTTCTGACTCTTCCTCTGCTGACACTTGCCTTTCCATGCTCAATGAAGCCCGTGGTGTAAACTGGGACCTCCCTGGTCACTGCAGGATGACACTGCATGGAGCAGCAGAGCAGGGGTGGAGGAGGCAGAACTGGGATGTGAGCAGTTCTGGCCAGGAGAGCCTCTGCCTATCGTGGCATCCCTGGACATTTTGGCTGGGAAGCAAAAGGGGAGGCAGGGTGTGCAACATGAGGCATGAGCCCGGAGGCCAGGGTGATTAGGAGAGGGTGCTGAGGGGAGGTCAATGCTTCTGATGGTCCAAACATTGCAACGCCAAGCCTGCCACATCCTGGGGACCTCCATGCCTTGCACACAGGCACGTGCAGTGGTGATGGGTGGCCGCAAGATGGTGGCCTTTCCCCCTCTCAGAAACCCAGGGGCCATGTCCAGGACCCATAGCCCTGGGAGGATGTGGGTGAAAATCCTGAGGCCTCCTTGGGAGGGGAAGAGGGGTCGACAGTCTGAGGGGATTGTGAATATTGAGATCGTGAATAAAACCTCTGTGGAGTGAATCCTGCTCAGCCTGGCCTCTGGTGGTGCTCCTTTCCCAGAGTGAGGGGGGTCTTGCTGAACCCTGGCTTGGGGCGCTACAGGAAGGTCCTGGGCCTCTCTCCCAGCACAGAGGGATTTGGGCAACATGTGGACTCCACAAAGCAGCAGCCAGAGAGGAGATTTTCATTCCTCTGTGGAGGAAACCGGAGGTAAGCAGCAGAGAGACAGAAGAAACGCTAATCTTTTCATACCTGCCCATTACTTCCTGAACTGGGGAAAGCAGGGTTTGAAGCCGGGGCTTGACCTTTGTGAGGGCAGAGCATTAATCCTGCCCTGTCTAGGGGAAGTTTGTCTGGGCACCCGCATGTCTAGCTTTTAGATATGATGTGGGGCCACTGCCCTGGGCTGTGGGGTGAAGTAGGCTCTGAGGACAGAGATCCTGCAAGGTCAGAGCTGGTCCTAGGGGCACAGGGGGGATGTGGGGAGAAGAAAGAAGGAACAGCAATTGAATGGGGAGATTGAAGAGATCCAGAACAAGTGAGGGTTGTGGGTGAGCGTGACACCTCAAATGGTGACTAGCACCTGTTTTTTGGTGGGGAGAAAGGAGATTATTTTGTTTGGGTCTAGTCTCTAGAGCTTATCCCACTGCAGGCTCTCTGAGCCGCATTTCTGCCCTGTGTCCTGGGGGGCTGCCCAACAGGAGATGGTCCCTGTGGGGATGAGGACAATGCAGGCGGATGGATCTTTCCCACCAGCCTGGTGGAGCCAGCCCCGTTTTCATGTGGGGCCCTGGCTGTGCCAAAAGCTGCACATGTGAGGTCCTGCAGAGACCCTGGTCTCCCTCCACTCACTCTCTTGCTCCTTTCCTCCTCCTCCTTCCCCCTTCCTCCTCTACCTGCTGCCAGCAGCCCCCAAGGGCACCTCTGTCTGCTGCTCTTGCCATCAATATCGAGGTTATCTTTTTCTTCTGGCAGCTGCTGTAATTGAAACAAAGCAGGCCGGGCCTCACGGGCTCCACTCCTCTTGCTTATTTAGCCAGGGCTGCTGAGACAACTAATTCATTTTATCGATGCGTGGCTGGCCTCTTTTCCACCAGACCCAGGCAGAGCCGTCTCTGCACCACGGGCGGTGGGAACAGTGTATGTCCCCACAATGTGCTGCTGGGTGCTGTTGTGAGCCACTGTCTGGCCTTCAGCTTGCAGAAGTGAATGCTGGTGAATGGGAAGAGCTGAACATGTCCCTGAGTCCCCACAGTCCTGCAGGGAGGCCTAGCTCGGGGACCACAGAGGTTACGGTGGTCAGACCCTGCTCCCTTGGTGCCTGGGAAGGTGTTTCTTGTCCCACTGTCCTAGCACTGTCTCGAGAAGCTCCTTTGAAGTGCCCCTGCCCAGAAAGCAGCAGGCTGCACTGGTTTCAAAAAAGCAACCTTCAGAGATAGGTTTGCAGCGGCCCTGGGGAACTGCACATGGATGTCTCTTGTGGGAACCCAGCCCTGCACACATGTAGCACGTGCCTGCTGGGACATGCATGAGGAAATGCACATGTACAGGAGTCAAAGACGCAAGTAATCAAGCCCCATGGCTTAGATGTACAAAGAACATGGGCACCTTCACGTTCCTGTGTCAGTAACCAGGGATACGTAACACGTAGTTAAATCCTGATGAATGAGGGTATCAAGGTGGCATCATTAAGGCTATTCTCTGGATTTATAAATACATTTATCATTCTCTGTTTAATAATTAAATTACTCAATCACTGCCAAAAGTATTTTATATGGCCCAGAACCATCCTGGCTTGGGATGTGATCTTCCCAGAAGAATGCAGACCCTTGGGAGAAACCGAGAGATCGCTGGGCCCCAGTGATGTGGCAGACACATCTGCAAGCACCAAGCCCCCCTTGCAGTGCAGGTGCATGAGCTCTGACCATGTTACTTCTGCCTTTAAATCAGAGCTATGGAGCCACTTCGGCTGCTCTTTGCGCTGCCAATGCAGGAGGAAAATCTCTGCAGTCCTCAGCTGGTCTTGTGACTTCCTTTGCAAATCTTTCTGTATTAAGATGCAGAGCTAAGTCCTGGCTCAGTCCAACCCACTTCTCATGGTGCTGCCTGGGCTCTCCTGCAGAGCCGGGCACTGCTGCTGTGCTGCTCGGCAGGGGTGCTCACCTTGTGCCACTATCAGGTGAGGGCAGAGAAGTCCTGCCAGACCAATGTGCTGTTGGGCTGCCCCAGCTCTTTTCGGGCACTACCCTGGGCAGCACCAGCTGGTGTGGAGGACAAGTGATGGTCAGGTTCAAACCCTTGCCTTATGCCACGCAAGCCTTGCCTGCCACAGTTTCCCTGCTGACAAAATAGGGTGAGGAGAGTGGTGCTCTGTGATACTGTGCTCCCTACAAAGCCTGGAGTGTCTCTGAAATCCCAGAGCCTGGAAGGATTTGGGCATCAGTTCTTCACGGGTTTCACTCTCCATACAGCCATAGCTCAGAGCCCGCTGCAGGGAGAGCAGTGAGCTGTGGCCAGCACGTCCCACGCAGTGAAGCAATGGCAAGGCTCTGGCCAAAGCACAGGGTGGCATCTCCATCTGCGCTAAGAAGTTTTGGGTCGTGAGGATTTCAGGTGATCTGACCACCTTTTGGGCAGAGAAGGTAGGGGAGGCCTCACCAGCTCTCTTTTCTAGTCCCAGATTCGGTGGCAGCTCTGTTCATTACCAGCTCTCCTGTGCTGCAGACCGGCTCTGTGCCGTCTCCCAGAATGACTTCAGGAAAGCGGCTGAATTGCAGTAAGGTGTTTTTTTTTTTTTTTTTCCCTTCTGCTTTCTTAAGCAGCTGCAAGTTTCTCGATGAACTTCATCCCCTGGTCTGGAAAGCGAAATGGGAAGTTTTGTTACACGTTTGATATTGAAATGCATCTCCGAGTGGCAAAGCACTCCCAATCTTGGTTAGTATGTGCTCCCGCCGGCGTGGCCGCAGCAGCTGGAAACCTTCCAGGGACCGCAGCGGCTGTGGAGATGCCAGGGGAGCCGGCCAGTGGTGAGATTGGAAGGATGCTGATGACTTTTATCTCCTTTTTTTTTTTTTTAGTGCCAAGTACTTCCTCAGCCTTTTTGTTAAAGCCCACATCCTCCCCCTTGCAGGGCTCCTCAAGCTAGGGGCTGCTGAGGGGAGTGGTAATGTGATGGGTGCCTGGAGAAGGGGACAGGGCTACTGAGGGTCTCACTGGAAGACCCAGTGAGCACCTAGGGCTGCTTCAATGCAGAACTTCCACATGGAGAGCACACCGAGACGTCTCCCTGCTGCCGGGATGAGGGGCACAGCACAGGCTCCAGCGGAGCAGCAGGAGTGCCAGAGCAATCCTGTGTGTCTGCACTGTGGCCATGGTTTGAGTGAAACCCGTCGTTGCCAAGCTCTATGTTATTGTCACCAGGGACCGCTCCGTCGGCCAGCACAGCCTCTCTGTCCTGGAGGCTGCCGAGAACATTCGATCATGTCCTGCTGCCCCAGACAGCCCAGGCTGTGGTGCAACTCTCCTGGGCAAGGCGATTTCAGTTAAAAAAAAAGGATGAAAGATTTATAAAGGGAGAAAAACGATTTGCCGTCCAGAGTTGCACAAGGCTGGGAACGAGCATCTGACTGTAAATCCACATGGTTCAAGGAGGGGATGAGGATGAAGAGGGAGGCTTAGTTAGGGAACCCTGGGCCTGGAAGACCCTCGCCCTGAGCCATCATTGCCATGAGGTGGGAAGGAAGAGGAAGGATACTGTGGTGCTGGGGATGCCCCATGGCACCCAGCTCTGCCACCAACGTGGATGAGCAGGAGAGACCCCAGTGCTGCATCACATGCAGCCGCTGCCTTTGCCCTGTGTGCTGCACCACCAAGGCCAAGCAGGTCCTCTCCGGGGATGGGGAACAGCCAGTCCTAATGTCAACAGAGGCCTCTTGTGCAGCGATGCTGTGTCAAGAAGAGGAATGGGTCCCTCCTCCTCCGCCCATTCATCTGGCAGCCGGGGCTGGCGCACTGCCAAGCCAGGCTGCTTTGGAAACATTTCATTGAGGAGGCAGCTGAGCCTAGGAAAACAGAATGAAAATATACAGAGATCACTGTTGTTAGGCAAAATAATGCAGGCGGCTGCATTTCTGCCCCCCAAGTCCAGCCCAGCCAGGCCGCTCTCGCCTGTGCAGGAGGAGTGGGAATGTTGCTACCCAGAGACAGCAGCCGTGTATTTCCATCACAGGTGGGGAGCCAGGAAAAGAGAGCTGGAGGCCTTGGCCCTAGCTTTGACCAACTTACTGAAGTTCCTGGTGGGTAGATCCAGACTTGTCCTGCTGCAGGATCTACTGTGGAGATGGGACAGAATGGAGAAAGCAGTCACAGAAATGACCCAGCTCTGGCGACCGGTGTCTCCAGTGTGGCCACCGAGATGGATACCAGTGCAGGTGGGGCTGAGGGAGGGTGTCTGATATGGCCATGGGCATCATCATCTCCCTAAAAAGAGCCCCGTGAGAGCAGACAAAGTCCCAGGACAGCACCCTAGGACAGAGGCATCTGGCACACAGATTTGCAGCATGCATTAGGTGCCTGAAGCTGAACTGGATCCCGAGTTCCCCACAGCATCGAGCTGCCGTGACCTGCTCTCTCAGCAGGTGACTTAGAGATGC